AAGGCGTGAGAGGTGCTGTGTGTCTTACACGAGGAAGAGGGCGAACAAGGCGTGAGAGGTGCTGTGTGTCTTACACGAGGAAGAGGGCGAACAAGCTGCTTTGGATGTGAATGCTCGTGACTGGCTAGAACCCCTGACTAGCGAGTGATTTGATAACTTACAGCACGGGATTTAAATTCACAATCACAACACATCAGAGACCTCATCAGGGCTATGGTTGTTCTAACTCCTCAGGTGTGAAAGATCAGGGTCGTTATTCTTCCTGAGGACCTCACATGGAATCCTTTTTTTTTTCTCAAAACCATATCACCTAAGTTTCTGGTGTGTCACAAGACATGCCCATGGCAAACAAAGGTAAACTTGATGGTTGATGCTCTTTTTTTTCATGCTTAGCACATACTAAAGAAATATATCTGCTCATGAATATGTAAATAAGTTTTATTTAAAGTCTAACTGGCTTGAAAGAAAATTCTTGAATCACCTCTTGGTGTTCTAGGAATTCAATATTTCTCAGTGCAAATATCAAACTCCTACTCAGATGCACCAAATGGAGACTTGGCTGGTTTTAAAGCATCTATTTACTCAGAAGAATACAGCCCACGCACAGGAAAAATGTCCCTTCTACTGATGTCCCAAATGCCTCTTTGCTTGAAGATTGCTCAAGAGGGACGCCAATGTAGATAATGCAGCTTTACAGTGAAGAGTGAACCCAGTCCAGCTCCATATTACATATTTGTGTTTCATAATATGATAAGGCTCTTAGCAAGGAGGGGAAAGAACCAATTCAGAGAAAAAGAGCTCTCTGGAATAAATAAGATGCCGAGTTGGCAGACAGTACCAGATAGTTCACCTTAATGCTTTTTTTTTGAGACGAAGTCTTACCCTGTTACCCAGGCTGGAGTGCAATGGCACCATCTCAGCTCACTGCAACCTCCACCTCCCAGGTTGAAATGATTCTCCTGCCTCAACCTCCTGAGTAGCTGGGATTACAGGCGCCCACCACTGCACCCAACTAGTTTTTGTATTTTTAGTAGAGACGGGGTTTCACCATGTTGGCCA